TATGCTATTTGATTACACTTTGAGCATTGAATTAGGATTTCACAGTAATGCATCATAGATTCTCACAATTGCTTGGACTCCACATTGTTATAGAAAAGAAGAAACTATTTACAACTGCTTTGCTCAACTATTCTACAAATAATCATTTTCACGCAAAAGCTTTCTTTCTCTCCCTGTTCCTTCAATCGCTGGAAAAATCAATTTGCATTAATATTCTGAAGCCTGTGGGCAACCACGTTGATTGGAATGGGATAAATTTGTAAATTTTGTTGCCTTTGAGCAGAATTTAACTAGCTCTGTATTAGGTTTAAAATAAACAACAAATCAGGAATAGGTTTCATCAAATCACACAGAATGGGTTCAATACTTACTTGACCTCATTCTCATCAATCTACCTGCTGTAGATGCAGCTGTGTACGACATTATTGGTGGTATTGACTACTGTGGATTCAAAGACCCATCTTCACATTGAGGATATCTTCAAATATGTTGTGTGGCACCACTACTATCAGAAATGGGATGGCTTCCAAACTGGTCTAGCAACTTAAACTTGAATGCCAAGAGATGCTGTGGCCCATCAGCTGTAGCAGAATTGCATTCAAGCTCAGTGTGGTCTAGCATATTCCACACTCTATCATTACCATTAGAGCAGGAGATCAACTTTGGTTCACTAGGGAGTGCAGGACAGCATGCCATGAGCAATACCAGGCATACTGACAAATGAGGTGTCAACAATACAGAATTATTTGCAGGATCCAAGGGCTAAATGATCCCATAGCCACTGGATCAGATCTAAGCTCTGTAGTCCTGCCACATATAGCAGAGAGTGGTGTTGGGCACGAACTGGAGGAGAAGGCTTCACTGATATCTCCATCCTCAATGATGGGGTGGGAGGATGGGTGCAGCACATCAGTGCAAAGACAAGGCTGAAGCATCTTCATCCAGAAGTACTGAGTGGATGATCCATCTCGGCCTCCTCCAGAGGCCCCTTACATCACAGATACAGCCAATTTTATTCACTTCACTGGTGGCATCAAGATATGACTGAAGCCACTGGATACTGCAAAGGCTATGGGCCCTGACAACATTCTCGAAATAGTGCTGAGGACTTGTGCTCCAGAATTTGCCGCTTCCCTGGCCAAGCTTTCCCAGAACAGTTACAACACTGGCATCTACCCAGCATTGTGGAAGATTGCCCAGGTATGTCCTGTAAACAAAAAGCAGGACAAATCCACCCCACCAATTACTGTCCTACCAGTACAGTCTCAATCATTAGTAAAGTGATGGAAGGTATCATCAACAGTGTTATCAAGCAGCATGTACTCAGCAATAACCTGCTCAGTGACACCCAGATTGGGTTCTGACAGGACCAGTCAGCTCCTGACCTTATTACAGTCTTTGTTCAGACATGGCCAAAAGAGTTGAATTTTAGAGATGAGGAGAGCATGAGAGCCCTTGGTATCAAGGCCATACTTTACTGGGTCTGACATCAAGGAGCCCTGGCAAAATTGGAATCAATGAAAACACAGGGGAATCTCTCTGCTGATTGGAGTCATATTTTCAAAGGAACATAGTTGTGGTTGTTGGAGGTTATTCATCTCATATCTGGGGTATCACTTCAAGGAGCTCCTCTGGGTAACACCCTGGGGTTCAATCATCTACAATTGCTTCATCAATGACCTCCCCTCCATCATAAGGTCAGAAGTGGAGATGTTGTTTCTGATTGCACAATGTACAGCACTATTTGTGACTCCTCAGATACTGAAGCAGCTTGTGTCCAAATGCAGCAAAGCTTGAGCAATGTTCATGCTTGGGCTGATGAGTGGCAAGTAACATACACATCACACAAATGCCAGGCAGTGACCATCTCTAACAAGTGAGAACCTCACCACTGCCTCTTGACCTTCAGTGACATTACAATTACTGAATACCCAACTGTGTGTTACAATTGACCAGAAACTGAAATGGACCAGCCATAAAGAAACAATCTCTGCAAGAGCAGGTCAGATCCTGTGATGAACAACTCACCTCCTGACTCCTCCAAAGCCTGTCCAGTACCTACAAGGCACAAGTCAAGAGTGTGATGAGATATTCCCCAATTGCCTGAATCAGTGCAGCTTCAACAACACTTAAGAAACTTGGCACCACATCCATCACTTTAAACACCACCAACACATGGTGGCAGCAGTATGCACCATTTATATGATGCATTGAAGCAATTCACCCAGCTCCTTCAACAGCATCTTCTAAATACACAATATCTAGCATCTAGAGTAGCATGGACAGCAGTTAGATTGCAAGATCATCACTTAAGATGTTCCCCTTCCAGCCACTCACCATCGTGACATGGAGCTATAATGTTGTTCATTCACTGTCAGTGGGTTCGAACCCTGAAACTCCATCCCTAACAGTACTGTGGGTCTGCCTAGCACAGTTCAAGAAGATGGCTCACCACCAGCTTCTCCAGGCCAGTTAGGAGTTGGGTGATAAATGCTGGTCTGGTTGGTGAAGCCCACACCCCATGAAAGAATAAAAACAACTTACATCCCATCATTCCTTGCTTTGAGACCATGTTGAAAAGATGAACAAACACTAATCCAGGGATCAACTGAGGTAGGAGTAAGCCATTCAGTCCTCCAACCTGCTCTGTCATTTCTCTGAATTAAAGCTGATCTTTGTCTCATTGTCAACCATAGCTCCAAAGTCCTCAATATCATTTCAAACATAAATTTTGTGATTGGCAGCTTCACTTAAGCCAGCATTGTTTGGCCTTTTGGAGAATAGAGTGCTTGTTTCCTTTTATACATTTTATGAAACAATGCTTGTTAAATTAACTTAGGATATCTGCTTGGCATGAACGAGTTGGACTGAAGGGTCTGTTTCCATGCTGTACAGGTCTATGACTCCATCTATGATTAGCTTACTTCATACCCAACAATACAGGTGGCATGGAAGCTCAGGGTTAGCACTGCTGCCTTACAGTGCCAGGGACCTGAGTTCGATTCCAGCCTTGGGTGACTGTCTGCGTGGGTTTCCTTCAAATGTTCCAGTTTCCTCCCACAGTCCAAAGATGTGCAAATTAGGGTGGATTGACCATGTTAAATTGCCCACAGTGTCCAGAGATGTGCAGGTGAGGTAGTTTAGCCGTGGGAAATGCAGGGATAGGGTAGCGGGGGGAGGTTGAGTCTGGGTTGTATGCTCTTCAAAGGGTTGGTGTGGATGTGATGTGCAGAATGGTGTGCTTCCATACTGTAGAGATTCTATGAAACTATCTAACTTTCTGATGGAAATAATTTCTCTGTATCTACCTTATGAAACTGTATTTGTTATTTTCAGAGATAGTAGGAACTGCAGATGCTGGAGAATCTGAGATAACAAGGTGTAGAGCTAGATGAACACAGCAGGCCAAGCAGCATCATAGGAGCAGGAAAGCTGACGTTTCGGGCCTAGACCCTTCTGAAGAAATGTTAGCTTTCCTGCTCCTATGATGCTGCTTGGCCTGCTTTGTTATTTCCAGCCTGTTTAATGCGCTTTGGTAATGATTATCACCAATGACCATCTTGACTTGGTCAACCACAATATTTGATTGCAGCTGGAATGAAGATGTTTGTTGAAGAGTGTAGAATGAAGAGTTCAGTACCTCCAGCAAGTTGGAAAGCTGCACTGAGGACATCAAGGGAGCACACGAACATGTAGAGAAAGCTAAATAGCAGCAACATCTTCATCATGGAGCTCAGAATGAATTTCACTTTCCCCTTTGCACCCAGCTCTGAAAAAACAAAGAGATTTCTCAGTTTCTTGTCAGAGGGCTTACTTAACTTAACTCACCAGTTTCAGTATTTCATGTCAGCTTCTTGAGTATATTTGTGTATTGCCAAAGGGGAAACTGAAGACAGAGGAACAATTTCATCAGATCTAATGTTTCCAGCTGTTGAACCTGAGTGCAGCCGATATCATTCTCACTTTGCTATTTATATTCAGGTACCGGGTCTCACTCATTGCTTTGTTTACCTAAGCCATTAATTTTTAAGTTCTTGAACATCTAACCTAAGTGACTGCATGACCTGGAAGGAAACTCGGGGAAAATGTGTGAATGAGACATTCGGTTCCAATTTGTCTTGTATATTTCGAAATGAATGACCACATGACCAATATGGTCATTTCCAAATCATACTAGTTTCTCTCACTGGTTACTAACCAAAACACTGTGACTATACATCTTGACAATATGAACTGAAATCCTGTCACAGCAGTTTTGAGAATCTGAATTCAGTTTTGAAGAAAATCAGTAAACATGAAATCGGGATCCAGTTTGAATGACAGTTGGATTTGTCATAAAAGCTCGAGTGTTTCAGCATTTTTCTGAAGAGGAGGACATTTGCCATCCTTTCTGTATCTGACAATTGTGCGATGTCTCTTCCACACTAACATGATTTGGCACTTAAATACACTCTGATGAGACCCAGCAAGCTATTCAGTCATTTCAAATTGTGCAGGAGGATCCATTAGCAGCATTAAAGACAGTCCTGGCAGTAACATTTCACATCTCAAGATTGAATTTAAAAAAAGTAAATTCATAAATCCAAACTCACAATTACCATGCTGAGACATCTCATCCATATCTACAATTCTAATGACAATGATGCTGATTGAGGATTCATAAATACTAAAAAGCTCTCCTTGCATTTGAAAATCTGTCAATAGCTCGTTAGCTAGCCTTCATTAACTTATTTGAGCTATTGATGTATTTCTGTAGTTCCCTCCTTTCCTTGATTGTTCTCCCAAGCACATCCTGAGCAGACTGGACAGATCTGGGGCACTGGGAGATGATTGAAAAGATTTTTACAAAGACTGAACATGTGGAGAGTGGTTAAAGTAGCAAAACAGCATAGGGAGGGGATGATGATGGGTGGCAATCGATCAAGCATAATTGTTCTACCAAATATAGATGATGACGTGCAGTTCCTTGAAGTGAAGAGTTGCTTATCATGGATTACAGCCAGGATAAGAAGATAAGTAGAACATACGAGGGTTGTTGTGCGACAACAATCACAGGGTCTGACCGAGCAGAAAATTCTGTCATCTATTGGTGTGTTGGAAGGACTTGAAATCCAATAGTCCACCTGCTTCAGCTTGTCAAGAAGTTACCTCTCTTGGCCAAAACATCCCTGAGTGGAACTTGAGCTTAGACCTCCTGACTCGAAGGTGGGGACACTACCTGTAGTGATTAGAGCAAGGTCAGCCAGGTGGATCTCATAGAATATGACTTCCCTGATTGGGGCTGTTAATCTGGTTCAAACAGGGAGCCCTGGCTGACAGATATAAACAGGAGTGTCACTGTGCTAGCTGTGTCCGTGACTTGTATTATGCAAATGTAAATAAAGGGTGATTGGTACCGGGATACCAGCCTTCATGGAGCTATTTCACCACCCACTGAGCCACAGGAACACCACTCCACCACCAGCACCGTTTCCACCAGAACTGTAGATATGAATGAGATGTCTTAGTATGGCGATATTGAGCCAACTGTAAGCCATATTTTTATGAAGGAGGATAATCGACATGTTAATTCCTCACACGTTTCTGGTTTTCATCCCTCTACCTTTGACTGTAAGGCCCTAAGGTCTGGAATTGCTTCCATCTCTCTGCCTCATTCTCTTTCTTTTTAAGATGTTCCTCAAACTCTTTAACCAAACCTCTGATACCTGGCCTAATATCTCAGTATGTTAGACTTCCAGTATCCACAAGTGTTTGCTTAAACTCTAATATTTCTTAGAAACATAGGAGCAAGAGTAGTCCCTTGAGCCTGCACTGCCACACAAGAGGATGGATGGCCATTTACCCAATGCCATTTTCCTATGCTATCCCCATTTTGATAGATGCCATTAGTAACTAGAAATCTAGTAATCTCTGATATGAATGTATTCAATGATTGAGCATTCACAGCTGTCTTGGGTAGATGATTCCAAAGATTTATCAGTCTGTGTGAAGAAATTCCTTTGCATTTCAGTCCTAAATGGCTTTCCCGTTAATCTGACACTTTCTTTCTCAGTTCTAGACACCCAACCAGCCCTGACTCAGACCAGCCAAGGGAAATATTCTTTCTGATTATGTAGTTCATCTAAATTTTCTTTGATAACACCTGTTGTGAAGTGCCTTGGTCCTTTCTAATGCATTCAATTGCTATAAAAATACCGGTTGGTAAAACAATTGAACTGCCTCTCATTTTTCCTCTCCCCTTTTGTCTTCCCTCTCTCATTTAGCACTCTTCATGTCTGCACTTAACGCTTTCTTTTACATTCACAGAATCTGAAAAAAAACAATTTCCACTATATTCTCAATTTTCTGATTAAGTGACCATTAATACTGTTGACTTTCTGCAGTCTGTGCTCCCATACCGGAACCATTGAGAATGCACGATTGACAAAAATATCTAATTGACTTGTATTGATTGACAAATTGTGGTTACATGTCCATCGACAAACTAATGTCATAGGGAAAAAGAGAGAGATTCAAGTTCAGGAACTATGCTGCCCTGAGATAATTTGAGTTAAAAGCCCAGCGCCTTACCTTTCCATTGAGGCACATTGGAATTGTCCAGCTTGGAGAAAGCCCAGGCCATAGCTGAATGTGTGTCAATCTCAAACTTGTCCATGTTGTCCACCAGGTTGACTGTTGAGCCTGGGCAAAGGTACCCATGATCCGAGTGTGGGACCCCTCCCACTGCAGGCAGATGGTACGGTTTAGTGCCAGCGACACCATTCATTCCTGCTATGTTAGAAGAACACATTGATAATTGTTGAATTTGATATTATTTGGGATGATTCCTAGCCTGGCATGATGTAGTGTTTGGACCGGCACTGACTGAGAATCTGTTGGATTCCAATGTCTAGACTTTTCATACGTTCATGAACATCGGTCGAAAAATTAGGGCTCACAACATCCTGACCCGCACTCCCTGAAAGTATTGCAGCAATTTCCAACTGGGGAGATGCCCATTTACAATGTACAATACTAAGCAAAACTTCCCATCCATGATCCATCAATATCCAGTGTTTAGTTAAGCCACAAAGCTTGCTCTGTACTGAGATTTGACTCCACCTTTCAGATGAAACATTCAAACAAGGGCCCAACTGGCATTTTTGGACAAACATAAAAGTTGCCCTGGCCCTACTTCAAAGAAGGGCAAGAGGTTTTCTCACTGGTATCTGGAGTGATTGGAGTGAGGTCAGCCAGGTGAACCTCACAGAATGTGTTCCTCCTTGGGGCTGCTAACCTGGTCCAATCAGGGAGCCTTGGCTGACAGATGTAAACGGGACTGTCAGAGGTTCTGTTCACTCTAGGAGCTTGCTCTGAGGTAGCTGGGTCAGTGTCATGTACTATGCACGTACAAACAAAGGATGACTTGGTGATGGGATACCAGCCTTCGTGGAGTTATTTCAGTATCCTACCTATATATGTCCCTCAATCAACACCAACAAAACTAACTGCTGGTTTTTATCACTCTGCTATTTATGGGAGATTGAAGAGCACAAATTGCACACTGTGTTTCCCAAATTACAGTGGGGATTACACTTCACAAGTCTGAGTAATTCATTGATTGTAAATCACACCAGGGTCTCCGGGATTTACAAGTAGATGCCATTCTGCAGAAAAGTAAATAAGCACACCACAAAGTTCTGATGACATGAAAATTACTACTTTATCCTTTATACTTTATCTTTTCCCTTTTTTGGGAAAGGAAAATTTGCCAGGAATACTATTCCTGACTATTAACACAAATAAATTCAATTCTTCATGACAGTGCTGCCCAACCTGTAACTTGATGGTGACTCAAATTGGCTTAACTTTACCTCTGTCAAAATACTTAACAAATAATATACTACCCATTCAAATGTAGGAACATCCCATAAGCACACCCTTGTCAAAGGCATATTCAGTAAAATAGATTGTCACATGTGCAATTTTCGCAACAGGAAGGGAACCCCAGCATTTAGCTCTAGCAAAGAGAGAGATTTGTAACAGCTTTAACAACCTCAACAGCTACTGAAAGCTAAAAGTAAAACACTGGCTCTGTCGAAGCTTGACCCCACCCATTCATGCTGGTTCTATTGTTTCAACTTTAAGAAAAACCCCAAGACCTCACAAGCTGTTTACTTTATTGGCTTGAAGCAAAATGCTCATCACCTCTGTCTCAACCTCTCTCTTTTTTTAAAAAAAGGACAACATTCACCTCTTAAAGCCATTATATTTTAACAAAGTGAAGCTGAAGATGTCTACCTATAGTCTGTGCACCTCCTAGTAAATGTCACATGACTACAACAGATGAGGAAAGACATTTGTATGTGATTGAATTTCAATCCAAACATCCCAAATAAAAAGAAAAGAAAAGGCATGTATTATCACATTCATATTTAGTTACACGAATTAGCAACTATTTACATTACTGTTCTAATGCATTATTTCACTTCTTCATCAGTCTTTGCATTTACACCATCTTCCAATCATGCTGGTCTCTCAATGTTGTGTATGTTGTCATTGGCTGTTCATCTGACCTGATATTGTTTCACCAGTGAGTGCCTGTCGTTTGTCTTGTGTCTTTTGTTGTTTCTGTGGTAGCTGTAATTGGTCAATTTCTGTAGTTGGATCACTATGGCCATCGGGTCTGAAGGTTGAATGAATGATCTGTGTAATGAGTGTGTTCACAGCTGCCTGGTCAGTTTCCTGCATTTCAAATACCGTTTCTGCAGCTGGGTGTTTCCACCTGAGGTTGCGATGATACACCTGGTAGTTCAGGGGAAGTGTTGGACTAGTAGAATTATTGCTAGACTATTAATTGGAAACTCAGCAACTGTTCCAGGGATAGGTGTTCGAATACTGCCATAGCAGATGTTGGAATTTGAATTCAATAAAAGGAAAAAGCCTGGAATTAAGAACCTATTGATTACCATGATAGAATTGCCAATTGTCATTAAAACCCATCTGGCTCACCAATGCCTTTCAGGAATAAAAACCTGCCATCCCCACCTGGTCTGGCCTACATATGACTCCAGACCCACAGCAATGAGGTTAACTCTCAACTGCTCTCTGAAATGGCCTGCAAGCCTTTGATTTCGGGGCCAGCTAGGGACGGGCAATAAATGCTAACTAGCCAGAGAAACCCATATCCCACGAATGACTAATAATCATGTCCATTGGATATAATCAACATAACAACTGCTTCATGTAGGTCCCAAGTTGCCCCTGTGCTGGGTTTGTTGAGATTGTTGAATGTTTTTAGCCTGACTGGATCTCCAATACTCAACTCCAGTAATGGTTTCAGCAGACTCGTCGAAAAAGAACGCTACCATTTCAATTGGATTCTTTTTTTCACCTTCACCTTTTACTAGTTCAGGCTTCAGTAGCCTTTTCACTATCAGAGGAGTCATTTTTATGTAACGTGACATTAATCTTTGTATTGGACTACCTTCCATGCCCGCGGTAGATATGTTTCTCCACGCTTGAGGAGTGCTTTGTGTATTTTTGTGTGGTCTTGATTTGGTTTCTTAATGGCTCCTCTGATGACTTCTACTGCCATCTCATCCTTTTCATTTGACTGGGGATCATGTGGAGATGATGCTTGTGTTAAAATTTCCAACCTTCCATTAAGCAACTGAATCCTACACTCATGAACTCAGGGTCATTGTCACTCATGACAATTCCGTAAAAATTAAAGTGTTGTTTTGGGCATTCGACAATCCCAGCGGTAAGTCCTTGAATTCTATCTCACAGTATTCAGAATAGTAACCTATGATGTCCAGATAATGAGCTCCTGTGAGTATGAAGAGCTATATCCAGCCTCATGCATGTGTCATTCATGTGCCATTAGTGGCTATCTAGTTTGCTTAGTTTGGTACTTATTGGACACACTATGCTGGGTCATGTGGCCCTTGATTCTGTTCCTTTTGTTTGGCCAGATGAGCACATCTGTTGCCTTCCTCAGATTTGAATCAATTTTTTAGGGTTTGCATGGATGAGTCTTAGCAGCTCTCCCGCCAACTCCTCCAGGAGAATGACTTAATTTTCTTTGTACAATGCACCATCTTGGGCATGTCTATGCCATCATCTGTAGCTGTCTAATAAGTCCTTGCAGCAATAAGTGTCACCTTGATGGTCTCAGGCCATCCTTTTACCACTATTTCCTATAGCAGTTGGAGATTTGCATCTAGTTGGATAGTTTGCTTGATTTGAGCAAGGTACTGGCCTGTTAAATTCAGTGTGTAGAGTTGGATGAACACAGCAGGCCAAGCAGCATCAGAGGAGCAGGAAGGCTGACGTTTCGGGCCTGGACCCTTCTTCAGAAATGCCGGCTGACGTTTCGGGCCTAGGCCCTTCTTCAGAAATGGGCTGACGTTTCGGGCCTAGACACTTCTTCAGAAATGTAGCAGAGAGCTACAAGCTGCTTGGCCTGCTGTGCTCATCCAGCTCTACATCTTGTTATCTCGGATTCTCCAGCATCTGCAGTTCCTACTATCTCTGTTAAATTCAGTGCCTCTGTTAGGTTGGCTTCCAGATTATGGCAAGTTGTTGCTTCACATTGAAGGTGGAAGACTTCACACTCTGTTATAGTATCCTCCATTCTCTTCGTCAGGAGTGCTGCTTTCAACAGTATGGCTGCAACATGCATCGCCTTTTGCCCTTGCTTGTATGTCACATCCAGATGCTACCTCTGTGACAAGCGTAATATTCTTTGCAGATGCATTGGACTGGCACTGTAGGTATTAATAAAAAATGTCTGTCAGGTGATATGTTGCAGAGGGACTGTGTAATTTACATTGTAGTATTTCAGCATTATTGCTGCCATCATGAGTTGCCTGATTTTAGTAAATGGTGATTCTTGTACCAGGCTCCAATACACTGCATATCTTTGGTCGTGAGTTGGTGTGATGCTTCACACTCTGACAGGAGTTTGGTCAAGAAATTTGCAGAATACTTGATTAATCCAACAAATCGTTGCACTACTTTTGCAGCAGTTTGTCACTGCATTGCTGCTGCAGTTCTCACCTTTTCAAGATCTGGGCAAAGAACTTCTGTTGTCAGCACATGGCCCATGTCTTTGACTCAAATATCTTTCATTGTAATTTTTTCTTGCTTAACCTCCAGTTCACTTGGCAAGTTCTGTCAAGCAGTCACATTAGATTTTGATCACGGTCAGTAATGGCTTCTTCCTTTGTGCATCTGCATCTATAAACTGGCAGATCATCCATTGGAGCTCATTATCCAGGATGAGCTCTAACTATCTCATGTTGTCTGCATTGATAGTCTTCTGGATCAACTAAAACACCAAACAGGATGCACAACCTCTGTATCTCATGAAGGTCATCCAGAATGTAGCTAGAAAGCTGTTGCTTTCATCTAACTTCACCTACTAGCGATCATCCTTCACATCAAAAGGATGGTAAAGATTTTTGCATTTGCAAGATGTGGCAAAATTCTTTTCATAGTTAGAATGGGGTCATGGAATCCTTTTTGAACCTTTCAGTCCACGCATACTCTTTGCTTCCCAGGATGTTTCTCTGTTATTGTTATTAATCCATTCTTTAAGATGTGTCATTTTCTTGATCACTCCCTTCTTTTCCATCTCTTATTTGATCTTCCTGGCTAGATTGGAGGTAGTTAGAACTTTCTTCGGCAGATCCTGAATTGATCTTTTTTACTGTCATCTATTTTGAGACAATATTCTCCTTGAAGTCATCTTAACCCTGTGAACATATTTTTCTACTCATCTGAGATGTATTCTATCACCAATGTCTTAGTTTGCTGGAACAAAGACAGAAGTTGCTGGAAAAGCTCAGCAGGTCTGGCAGCATCTGTGAAGAAAAAACAGAGTTAATGTTTCGGGTCTGGTGACCCTTCCTTAGGGTTGATGGTAGCTGGGAAAACGTCAGTTTATATGCAGAAAATAGAGAGGGGGATGGGGTAGGGAGTAAATGATAGGATAGGGCCTAAAGAGAGAGAAGAATAGTTGGATAGACAAAGGAGTTAATAATGATCTGGCTGGAAGGGTGAATAGTTGTTAATGGGGACTGTTAGTGACGAGCAACAGGTAGTATAATGGCAGGCTATGTGGTAACAAGGCCTGGTGTGTGGGGTACGAGGCTGGGACATGGGAGAGTTTAGGCCCTAAAATTATGGAACTCAATATTGAGTCCAGAGGGCTGCAGGGTCCCGAAGTGGAAAATGAGGTGTTGTTCCTCCAGCTTGTGCTAAGCTTTGCTGGAACACTGCAGCAAGCCAGAGACAAAGATGTTGGCCAGGGAACAGGGTGGTGTGTTGAAGTGGCAGGCAACAGGTAGCTCAGGGTCTTTTTTGTGAGCAGAACGTAGATGTTCTGTGAAACAGTCACCCAGTGTGCGCTTCATTTCTTCAATGTAGAGGAGACCACATTGTGAGCAGAGAACGCAGTAGACTAGATTCTAGGAAGTGCAGGTGAAGTGTTGCTTGGGCCCTTGGATCATGGGAGAGAGGAGGTAAATGGGCAGGTGTTACACCTTTGCTGGTTACAGGGGAAGGTGTGTAGGACCGTGGGGGTGTTGGGAGTGAAGGAAGCGTGGACCAGGGTGTCCTGGAGGGAACAGTCCCTGCGGAAGGCAGACAAGGGAGGGGAGGGTAATATGTGTCTGGTGGTGGCATCTCGCTGGAGGTGGTGGAAATGGTGTTTGATGATCTCTTCTTAGGTTGCTGGGACACTTTGCAAATCTCTTTTGAGACCCCAAGCTTTAGGCTTGTTCTGGCTGTGATGATTGGCTTTATCTTGCCATTTGTGAGCTCGAATGTTCGGTCCTCATTTATGTCATTGCAATGAAGTCTCAATGTAATCTTGCCCCTTGGCACAACTATGATGCCATCATATGGTCTTAACTTTACAACTGAGGGCTCCATTTATGTCTCACCATGTTGAGCCACTTTTTACAGGTGTGTGAAGATCAGGATATGTATAACACTTCAGTGTCTATGTGACATTTATGTTGACCCTGATGTTCTCTTCCTGCAGTCCTCATGGCCAGAACTCACAAACCATCTCTTAACTGTCAACTTGATTGAACGAAATTGTTGTTAGGTGTGTAGTGATTTCACATAATCTTCAAACTCTCTCTCTCCATCTGTACCAGCTGTTGGTTTTCTTTTTAGCCATACACTTGTATGCAAATATTTCGGCTTCTTGTCATGAAAACACCGATCTCCCAAAACCAGACATATTTTCTTGCATGATGACTTCCACAGTACTTGCATCCTACACCTTATCTGTAATTGTTCTACCCTGTGTGCCTGGAGGATCTGTCAGCTTACCGTTTGATCTGGCTGCAATGAATGTTTATTCACAACCATAACATTTCTGCAGACTGCACGAAGATATCAAGGGACTGGTTGGGTGTGTTGGAAAGTGGCAAGAGGAATTCAAACCTGAGGTGAATAAGGCATTGCAATCATAGACGCAACAAGTGGTCGGATATTGAGGATTGAAGAGTGACTGGGTGACTTTGCACCGTATATTGACAGATCCCTAACAGTAGTCGGCAAGTAGTAAGCCCATCCCTAATTGCCCAGAGGGCAGTCAAGAGTCAACCACATTGCTGTGGATCTGGAGTCAAATGTAGACCAGACCAGGTAAGGATAGCAGTTTCCTTCCTTAAAGGACATTACTGAATCAAATATTTTCCTTCACTTGCCAAGGCATAGATTACAAATACATAGAAAATTTTCTGGAACTCCATAAAATACTAGTTAAGCTAGAGCAGTGCATAGTTTTCTGGTCATTTCACTACAGTCATTATGATTGCAGTGGAGACAAGCTTTATGAGAATGTTGGATTGGACAGGGGTTACTTTCCTTGTAGCAATGAAGGCTGAGGGGATGTTTAGTCAGGGTATCTAAAATTATAGGGTCCTAGATACAGTGGACAGGAAGGAATAATTTCTCCCAGCAGGGAGGTCAATAATTGGAATAAATTTCGAGTAATTGGTGGAAGGATTGAAGAGAAGTTGAGAATGTTTTTGACTCAGAGGGATCTGTAACTCACTGCCCTGAAGGATGTTAGATGTAGAAACTCTTGTTTAAAAAAAAAGACATAGATATTGATTAAAGTGCTGTAACCCGAACGTTCTCAGACCAAGAGTTAGAAAGTAGAATTAGGATGTATAACTCCTTTTCAACTGGCGTCAATCGAATGAACTTAACAACTTTCTTTTATCATAGAATCCCTACAGTGTGGAAACAGGCCATTTAGCCCAACAAGCCCACACCGACCCTCCAAAGAGCATACCACCCAGACCCATCCCCATAGCCCTGCATTTCCCATGGGCTAATGCACCTAACCTACACATCCCTAAACACTATGGGCAATTTAACATGGCCAATCCACCTAACCTGCACATCTTTGGACTGTGGGAGGAAACCAGAGCAACTGGCAGAAACCCGCAGAGACACAGGGAGCATATGCAAACCCCACACAGACAGTCACTCAAAGTTGGAATTGAACATGGGTCTCTGTTGCTGTGAGGCAGCAGTGTTAACCACAGAGCCACTGTGCCATGCAAATTTCTATGACTCTTTAAGTTTCTGTAGTTTGGCAGTAACAAAAGCCATTTGGCCTTGGAATGAGGTGCTGAGGCCCAGATCAGCACAAGCAGCATGAAATTACTGGCTTTCTGTCTCTTTTTTTGTGTGTGCATCTGTGACACATTGAACTAGAAGCAAGAATTGTGAATGACTTACAGTGCATGCAAGACCTTTGCATTTGTATATAAATTGCATGGCATCTTACAGCTCAGAAACAAGCAGTTTGTCCAACTAACACACAATATCAATGTTGATTCACAGATTCTGCTTAGTTCTTTCTACCATGGTCCTTTCATTCCATTCTTTTAGAAACTTAACTTTGTTTGCACTACTGCATATTCTGACACACTTTAGATATGTATAATCTTACTGAAAGTATCATGTCATAGATGGTGTTTATGAATGTTGCAGAAGAAAGGGCCCTCATTGACTATGAGAACCTGCAAGAGTACCGTTGATGATGGCACATGGCAGCCGGGGAGAATCAGGGGCACCTCCACTTGGAAGGGAGAGAGGTCCACAGTGCACTCTCCTGGAACTGGCTGGACTGGCTCCGAGATGTGATGCCATCATGCTCCGAAGCTGCACAGTAAAGGAGGACTTGTTATTGTCTTAGAAACTTCCTGATGTCTACCTGGAAAAGGAACAACTGCAACATTTGCCAGTGCACAATCTGCAAGGGAACAACTTATAGAATCATAGAGTCAAAAGTTATACAGCACAGAAACAGACCCTTCAGTCCAAATTGTCTGCACCAACCAGACATCCCAATCTTGCTTAGTCCCATTTGCTGCCATTTGGCCCATATCCCTCTAAACCCTTCCTATTCATATCCCCATCCAGATGCTTTTTAAATGTTATAATTGTACCAGGCTCCACTACCTTCTCTGGCAACTCGTTCCATACATGCGTCACCCTCTTGTGTGAAAATGTTGTCCTCAGGTCCCTTTTAATTCTTTCCCCTCTCACCTTAAACCTATGCCCTCTAGTTTTGGACTCCCCTAACCTGGGAAAAAGACCTTGGCTACTTATCCTATCCATGCCTGTCATGATTTTACAAACTTCTATAAAGTCAACCCTCTGCCTCCGATGCTCTGGGGGAGAAAGGTCCCGATCTCTTCAGCCTCCAATCTTGGCAACATCCTTGTAAATCCTTTCCGAACCCTTTCAAGTTTAACAACATCCTTTCCCACGTGTTGCTGGCATCTACTTCATAATAATTCTCAGCAAGAATAAATTGTGCTTCCTTCTTAAGGTATGTAACATATACTATATTTTTGGTATGGAATGTATATGATGCACATTTTAATAGTGTGTATTGTCACTATTATACAGGATATCTATAATTTTTGGGTCACCTGTGGTTGACCTGGTAACACTCTCATCTTCACATTATAGGGTGGGCTGCTGGGGATTGTCAAGACTAGTTTAGTTTGGGAACTTGATCAGCATGGACGAGTTGGACCAAAAGGTCTGTTTCCATGCTGTTTGACTCTAAGACCCATTCCAGAAATTTGATTACAAAATCTCGCTGCTCACTCCAATGCAACACCAATACTGCATTGCCTTTCAGATGAGAAAGTGAGGCCCTGACTGGCCCTTCAGGTGGGTGTAAAAGATCCCATTTTTACTACTTCAAACAAGAGCAGAGGCCTTCTTCCTGATTATAGAATCCCTGCAGTGTGAAAACAGGCCATTTGGCCCATCAGGTGCCTTCCAAGCCTCTGAATAGCATCCTACCCACATCCAACCCCCAACCCTTTCTCTGTAACCCTGTAATTCCCATGGCTAATCCACCTAACCTGAACATCCCTGGATACTATGAGCAATCTAACATGGCTAATCCATCTAACCTGCACATTTTTGGGCTGTGGGAGGAAACCAGAGCCCCCAGACACGGGGAGAATGTACAAACTCTACACAGCCAGTCGCCCAAGAGTGGAATCAAACCCAGGTCCCTGGCACTGTGAGGCAGCAGCGCTAACCACTGAGCCACCATGCCACCTGATGGCCTGACCACTATTTATTCTTCAACAAAAGTTACGAAAACAGATTAGTATCTCATTACTTCATGTGAGATTTTGCCATTCGCAAATTGGTCACTGCATTCGTCTGCATTATAACAGCCAGTACATTACTAAAGTTACCTGTATAGAGCTCTGAGACTCCAAGGTTGTGTATGGTGCTATATATATGAATTTTCTTTCTTTTTCTAGCTTTGTGATTGTGGAACAATTTTCTTGCACCTCAGCACATCTACACATCAAAATTTATTAGCTATGCAACATTTGAAAATATGAGAAACTGTTCCTTTAAAATGGATACATTGTTATGTCCAACCCAAGAAAGCCAACATTTAAAATCGATGTAGACAGTCAAATATTCACTGATAAAATAAGATGCCCTCACAAAACTCAGGGATACTGTTCCAAATTCCAAGCCTGGGATCACTTACAGATCCGGAGAGAACAGTGCTAGCTTGTATTGACTTCCCCTCCTAATACAAAGCAACTGCTTCTTAGGGTCAAATAAGTCACAGAAAAAGCACTCTGCTATAATTCCAACACGCATTGGGCCAGAAAAGCAACTGACCCTCTCTCTTCAGGATTTATTCCAAAGTCAGAGATCTTTTAAAGGGATCCCTTTCAAGTCTTAATTGATACAACTTCCACCCAGACCTCCACAAAAGCAGAGAGAGAAATTTCCCAAGAACTTTTTCTGACAATATCCCTTGATGGGACCAAAGAGAAGGTAGACGGGATTTCCAAACTGCCTTCTGCAAGCTCCCAAAGACAACAATATGATAATGATCAGCTAATTTATTACCACCAATGGACCAGAGCAGTGGTGAAGCAAACCCCTACCATATTTTCAGGGAATGCTGATGGAGATGTTTGATGCCATCTCCTCCTTTAGACTGCCACGGAATGGCCAAACATTCACTGGGAGCAATTCATTTGATGGATGAACCAAAGAGACCATTTCGCTTGGTCCTGTCTGTACTGATAGTTGTTCTCTCCAAGGCAACTCTAACGCTGTCTGCAGGCATTTTGCATGGCTTCCAACACAGTGTTAGACATGTACAAAACAGTACAAGTTGAGCATTGGTTAGTATAAATTACAGCCATCATGTCAGAATATCATCCAAATTTACCCACACTGTAGAGAGGTTAGAAAATCAACATTTTGGATCATCCAGACTTATTCATTTTCTTATTTGTTTGGAGATCTGGTCAGGACTGTGATTGAGTCACTCTCAGAGCTCGTGATTAATGTGATGGTTGGAACTGATGATGGCCTTGATACATGTGATCATGCACTTACAATTCCAGAAGTCAAGAATAAAGAATCGCTTTCAGAATGCATCTAACACACGTATGAGGTATGTTAAAATCCAGAACCAGTTGGACTCCCCTACCTTGGGAAAAAGCCCTTTGGCTATTCACCTTATCCATGCCCCACCTGATTTTATATATCTCTAGAAGGTCACCTCTCAGCCTCTGATGATCCAGGGAAAAAAGCCCTGGTCTATTCAGCCTCTCCTTATAGCTCAAATCCTCCAGTCCTGGCAGCATCCTTGTAAATCTTTTCTGAAAACTTTCAGGCTTAATAACATCCTTTCTATGTGTTGCTGGCATCTGCTTCAGAATAATTCTCGGTCAACTTGACCACACTAACCCATTCAATATCACATTTGCTCTCATTTCCTCTAGTCTTTTGGTTACTTTTGCATCTCTGCTCCATCATTCAGGGCAAACTCTTTATGTGGCTTGGACTGACATTCTACAACACCTTCTCTAAACCTCTCAGTCTTTTCCCCACCTCATCACTCTTAAAAATCTTCACAAAATCCATCTTGTACCAAAAATCTGATTATCTTCCTCAACTCTCACATCAGCTCTGCACCTATTCATTTTCTACCCCTTCTCAAGGCACATTAAAATATCTTAATGCTAAAATAGTAGCCTATTTACTCACTGTTACTTTAGAAATCTACATGACTTATGTAGATAATGGTATCAGAACATAAATCATTATGGTCAATTCTATTTATACGCCTTTCTTTAGGTAGCTATAGTGTAATTAACTTTAAGATGCAACTTTTCAGAGAAACTGTCCTCAAAAGGCAAAAGCATCCTCAAAACTAAACTATGGATGCAGTTCTGCTGGATGATAAACTGTCCTAGTTGTTTCCAACACAGAAAGATTCACAGCGTCTTCAATTAATTATTCTGTTTTATATCCACTAATTCAATCACATAACTTCCTCTGTCTGCTGGATTAAATTTATCTTCTTAACACCTTTGAGTGGTTTGAACTCAATTGTTAACCTCTTAAATCACTGTTAAAGTAACACAAAGCAGGGTCTGAAAAAGATGTTAAATGGTGTTTAGCAAATATAATGGCTGAGCTTAATCAATATTGTGAACTTTAAAAAGTGAATATTTTAATTGTTTTTTTCGTTATGACTCATTTGAATAAAACAGGGAATTAAGTACATAAAGAGAAAAATATTTGAGCTACGTAACCTCAAATGCAAACAATATTAACAATCAATTCTATAATTTCCAGATACCTCTCTATTGCAAAAATATATGACCATGCCTTACCCGATCTTGATCTTGGAACTGGTCTCCTCACAGATTCTCACATTTACACACTTGACCCAGTTTGGGAAGAAAGTATTTCAACACTTGTCTTTTATACATAGACTAAGAGAGCAAAGTCTGCAGTGCCAAACTCATAGAGCGTGTACCTGCAATAACTAACCAATGATGAGGAGGCTGAACATCGTTAATTTATAATCAACTTTTGGTGCATAAAGTGCTGACACTGGGAGAGCTGGATCTGTGTATTCCATCAAATCACAATTCAAACAATTTGCCAAATTCAATAAAATCCCTTTGATGAGCAGAAGCAAGAGTTGTGCTGTGTTTGGTTAACTCTGAGTTATCTCAAGCTTTTTGGATGATTTTTGCAGTGAGGTCTTGTGTGTTTTGTCACTGAAATAACTGCACAGAGCCCAGTATTCTGTCGCCAAGTCACCCTTTTTGTACTTGTGCACAGTACACAGGCTGTGACCAGACAGCTCAGAGTCAGCTCCTGAAGTGAGGAGATTCTAAATCTCCTGGTTATTTTGGTCAGCCAGGGCTTTCCTGGATTGGTCCAGGTTAACAGCCCCAGTCAAGGATCTCGTAGTCAACAGGATCCACCTGGTCCCAATCACTACACCCCTCCCCAACTAATTCTGGGGATGTAGGTCTGGTCTTTCTTTTGTAGCTTCTCTTGCAACATTTTTGCTCTTGTCCGGTTCCTCTCATAGACTCAGACACGGGCAGTGTGTACTGGACTGTGGCCTGCCTCTTGCATCTGGAACATCTCAGTAGAGTTCCCTCCTCTTCTTCCGGCAGCAATAATTTCAAGGCTGCGACCATTTCAGACTCTGAATTTTCCCCAACAATTTCCTGCAATTGATCAGGGTTCCTTCAGAAGGCCAGTTCTTGTCCAAGTGCATGGGGTAAGTAGTTGGTAATACCTGTTTAGTAAGGTATGGTGAATCTAGTGTTTGGAAACAGGTGGACCTTGTTGACTTGGAGGTCCTTGATTTGAGTTGTTAACCCAAGCCATCGAGGAAGCCCTGGCTTCCCCAACACTGGACGGAGGGGGAGCACCTGCGGTTCCTGCCGAGCGTCCTGGCTCCCTGCCCCATTTGTGAGGTAACAGCTTTCAGGTGATCAGCATGTTTGTTCAGGACCGCCTTACCCATCCAGACTTTGTAAATCATGGGACCTGACCTCGCATCAACCTCATCTTGTACCCAGACAGGGCCATTTCCATTGGCTTCAGCACCAAGCTTAATCCCCGAATTAAATTGTCTCTCTCGCTTAGAGGTGGCTTAGGAATGGAATTGGCATTCTTGCTGCCATTTCACCCTACCCCCAAGTCTGGGAATATCAGGTTTAACCTGGTACGGAGTCTTCTTCCCGTCAGCAATACTGATAGAGCTATCTCTGTTGTTGAGTGAGGTGTGGTCCTATAATTGAACAGGAACCAGGGACAGTTTGGTATTGAGTGATGCTATAGGCTGCTTCAACATTTGGACCGCTCTTTCATCTAGACCATTGCCTTAACCATCAACTCTTGGAAGGTTTTAGTATCTGGTGCCTCTGGGAAAGTTAAACCCCTTATAACCGAAAATCCTGCGGGTCCGCAAGCAGCCAGAAGGATAATTCGTTGCTTTTCATCTGCCCCCAGTGTCATCTGCCTGGGAAAAAAAATGCATTCTTTCCACATACTGGGCCCAGTCTTTGACGGCAGGATCAAACGTGTCAAGCTTCCCAAATAAAGGCATGATGCCAGAAATGCTTACCCCAACTCCAAGATAGCTGCCGCAAGTGAATGTTCTTCAGACACATCCTGCTTTCTCCCATCGCCACTGAAGTCCCCTGTTTATATTGGTCAGCCAGGGCTTCCTCGATGGCTTGGGTTAACAACTCAAATCAAGGACCTCCAAGTCAACAAGGTCCACCTGTTTCCAAACACTACATTCACCATACCTTACTAAGCAGGTATTATCAACTACATACCCCATGCACTCGGACAAGAACTGGCCTTCTGAAGGAACCCTGATCAATTGCAGGCAGATTATGAATGTGTGGGAGGAGGGGAAGAAGGCATGGCGATTTCTCTTCAGGGATCTGGAAGTCCCAGTGAATGGGGGTGTTGCAGAAGGGGAACAGAGAAGGCCATGAAACCGTACCCTGGCAGGTTGGCCTGGGGTCACCACTTATTGAGTCATATGCCTGGGAACAAACCCTTTGGTCCAGCAAGTCCATGCCGACCATGTTCCCAAACTAAACTAGTCCTACTGACCTGCACTTAACCGATATCCCTCCAAACCTTTGCCATTCATATACTTATCCAAATGTCTTTTAAAAGTTGTAACTGTACCTAAATCCACCACTACCTTTGGCAGCTTATACTCTCTGTGTGAAAAAGTTGCCCTCATGTCCTTTACAGATCTTTCTCCTCTCACCTTAAAAATACGCTCTAGTTTTGTACTCCCTCACCTTGTCATTCACCTTATCTATGCCCCTCATGATTTATAAATCTCACTAAGGTAACTCCTCAACCTTCTGTGCTCCGGTGAAAAAAGTTACAGTCTTTCCAGTCTATTTTCATATCTCAACATCCTAGTAAATCTTTTCTGAACACTCTCTAGTTTAATAATATCTCCTTATAACAGTGCAACCAGATCTGGACGCAGTATTCCAGAAGAAGCCTCACCAATGTCCTGTATAACCTAAACATGATGTCCCAACTCCTATGCTCAAAGGTCTGAGCAATGAAGGTAAGTGTGCTAAATGTATTCTTAACCACCCTGTCTTCCTGCATTGCAAATTTTGAAGAGTTATGTACCTGAATGCCGAGGTCTCTCTGTTCTACAACACTACCCAGGGCATTGCCATTAATTGTATAAGTCCTGCCCTTTGTTTGTTCACCAAAATGCAATACCACATTTATCCAAATTAAACTCCATCTGCCACTCCTCAGCCCACTTAGATTAGTGCCATATCCATGGTGCAGAGGAATGGTCAGCAGGGCTACAGGAAAGACAATGATATTTTCCATTCTAGCATATGTGCCACACTCTCTGCCACTTAGCTTTTAGTCTATCTCTGCTGTTGTACATCCCTCCCACCAAAGCACATGCTCTACCACTCTCAATGTTTACAAACTCTCTGTTACTTGCTCTTATCCCCACAATCGCTCATGCTGCGAATGTTACATTACCTTTGTGCTACCTTCTCACTCCCAAACCTTATAGCCTTTTGCCTTCTTGTGCCAGCACCTGTGACAGCCACATACATCTCACTCAATCCCTTGCTTTCTCCCATTATAGGGGAAGGCCAATCCAGAGCAGGGCAGGGAAAAACTGCATGGGTAGAAGGGTACCTTGACATTCCTCCCTTCTTATGAGGACAGAACGCTGCCCCTCAGAGGAGAAGACCAGGACAGTTCCTGTAGAGATGCAAACATCCACATCTCCCCTTAATCTCACCATCAGTATCATTCATCGCACACACCACTTCTGCACACTGGCCACTGGCCATGATGTCTTCTCTCTTGCCTGTGCCTCGTAGTGACCAACAGCATCTCCACCACCCCTGCTGTCAAACAGTTGATTCCCTCAGAAACCATCTGGTGGCCCTTTGAGGATGAGAGTCATAGGGCCTCAAGGGAAGCATTAACATGGCTGGCTCCCTCACTAGAGCAGAGACTGACAGCTCTAGAGAAACGGTAGGCATGGAAGCTTTGTGACCACAATCTGGTGAACACCTCACTGTGACAGCACTACGGCTGGCCGAGGAAGGCACGGCCCAGGCCGCTGGCACTCAGAGGACGGGCAGAGACCAGGCACCTGCTCCAGCCCAGGCAGGAGAGGACCCTTTGGAGTCAGGAATCAGGGACTCCATCCACCTGCACAGGGTGGAATAGGAGCTACAGGTAGGAATGTGAGAGGGAATAGCCCTCAGGCCCAGAAACAGCAGCAGTGCAGAGAGCCATGTGACTGTCTGTCTGTCTCCATGGACAGGGCGGTGGTTGCCATGGAGAACCAGGCCCAGCATTCTCACGGTCTGCACAGACCTGCTCTCCATCGCCCCAGCCAATGGTCCACAGGACTGAAGGAACAGTGACAGTGGGCAAGGAACCTGGTGCACCCTGCAGGTGCCCCGTCCTCACAAGGAGACAGGGCAGTGCCGGGAGGCACCCAGTTGGAGGAGGAGCCACACACAGCTCCCTCAGAAATCTCCGCTCAGGACACTCCAGAGGAGGCTGGGCCCTCGGCCTTCACTCTGCTTGCCCCCTCTAACCCTTGGAAGTTCACACCAAGGAGAGGCAACCTGCATCAAGAAGATACTTGTCATGTCTGGTCCATCCAAACACAGGTGCCCCAGGAGTTACCTAACCAAAGCTCCAAGGCCAATGGGTTCCATTAATCAGAATCCCTTTAGGCCAGCTGCAGAACCAGGGAATGCACTGAGGTACAGTGAGGGAGAGAGAGAGAGAGAAGAAAATTTATTGATGGCACAGGTAACTATTGCAGGATGAGATACAACTTCATGTCCATACGCTGTAACATGAGCCAATGTCAGTGTTGAAAGACTGCTGCAGCATGTCAATGAAAGTGGAACAATATGCATACAGGGTAATGGGCTCTGCTGATACCATCAGCCCTCGTCCTAAACCATCTTTATTCTTTCCTTGCCCTCAGTGTCCAAGTATGTTAGTGTGAGTGACATTGTTAGCAATGTCTAGGGCAGACAGGTGTGCAACAGTCAGGGTTCAATGCATTAGAATGGCCAGTCATCAGGGACTCCACAGGTCTGTGTCCTGTACAGTGCATCCCTTTAGAAACTCCTCATCAATTGATCCTGCAGTGCCCTTCCTCCCAGTTTGAGACAGCTATCCCACACACAGTGTGGTCACAGCCATTTTTGTCCCCATTGATTAGATTTGATTTCCCGCAGGATGGAAGGTGACGCTGAGTGCTCCTCAACCATGGACTCCAGAGTCCACTTCCCCTTGGTCAGCTGCCAAACATCCAGATTCCCTACCTGTAAATTCCACAGCCTTCGCACCTCATTAGATTCCCACCTAACCCATCTACATGAGCCTGTTACTGCCTACCTTTCTCCCCAGGCTCACGGTATAACAGGTGTCTATGCCTGGTCATACTTTTTTTTAGATTCTCTCATGGGACGTGGGTATCATTGGCTGAGCCAGCATTTACTGCCCAACTCTAGATGCCCTTGAGAAGTTTGTGTTGAGCTGCCTTTTTAAACTGCTGCAATCTACATGCAGTAGGTGGACCCACAATGCTGTTGGAGAGGGAGTTCCAGGATTTTG